AATTAAAAGTCGTATCAATATTCGTGACCTACATTGCTGATCATTTCCCGATTCCAAACTTTTGTCCAGTGAGTGTAATACACTTAAAATTACAGAACAAAAAATTGTAGCAGAAAGCGATTTAAATTATGACAAAAATTGAAATGGGTATTTATTAGTTATAAAAGGGTAAATATGATAGGTCTGAATTGTTAAAACACACCAATAGCAAGAAACAAAAAACTGACTCATGCCACGAATAATACGGCAAAAACTTAAAAGTGTCTCCTCTTGATATTAACTTTTAGTTCCTGGCAATACCTGATAGAAGACGAATAACTCTTTAACGGCGTATTTTTGTCAAAAACTTTTATATCGTATTTTCTATACATCGATGCTATTAAAATTTTCATCTCTGATATCGCCAATTTCCTTCCGGGACCTAATTCAATGTAAAAAGATACGATATTAGTTATATGGATAAAGAAGCAATAAAAATTTCTAAATAAGATCTAAACCAAATAATACTCACATATTTTTGTTCCCCAACCAAAATTAAGCAAAGGCTTTTTGCTTTGTTCGCTGTCTTTCGAAAGAAATCTATTTGGATCGAAAATCTCGGGATTCTTCCAGTGTAACTTATTCATGTGTATGGCTTGCACATTGATACCGAATAGCGTATATGCAGGAAACTTTAGGCCACCGATTTCATCAGGCTTCGACGATACACGGAAATTAACTGGTACGGTCGAACAAAAGCGACCGACTATTACATATTCGAGAAAGCGTAAAGAAAATCAGCGCATTGAAATGCAATTTCTAAAAAAATTATTTTGGCAATAAAAAATCTGTTGCAACTAAATTATTAATTCGTATTGTTTACCTTCTTTGATAACAGCTTCACAGAATTCAAGTTTTGTTAAGTCGTCATATGTGATTTGCACGTCTGAATTTTGGCCGAAAACCTCATCTAATTCACGAAAAACTCGTTGTTTAAAGTGGGGATAGAGATCCAAATAATAAACTATAAAGCACATATAATTCGCCGGCTGTTAAAGAAATAAAAGTCATCTGAATCTCGTATGCAGATAAATAAAATAAAGTTTACGCGAAATCGGATTTTTTTTCTTACCGTCTGAATTCCGCCACTCACCGCTTCCAGATAACTTCCAACAATGATGTCATCTGCCAATGGCTTATCATGCTCATCATTTGTCGTCAAATATGCTGTCAATAGATCAGGTGATAATTTTTGATCTTTGGGTGCATTTCTAATTTCCTTTTGTCTTTCTCGAATTTGTTCAAATAAATTATCCTTCAACCACTTTTTATGAGATAACATATGCCGAGTATATAAATTCATTCCCGGAAAATGACGAATAAATGTTGGAATAAAGAAAAAATAGACCATACTTTTGTCATATCCTTCAGAATGTGTGACAAAAGCATCACTTTCCTTCAGGAAGTCATCTTTAACTTCAATTTTCTTGCTGGGAAACAATCTATTATAATAACTAGTTAGAGAATAACCTCGCTTATTAGAAAACACCAAGAAAGTCGTGTCAATAAAAAATCTTGACATCCATTCAGGAAATTCCATAACACAATCTTCCCCGAGCGCATTCCAGTATTGGTCTAGATCTTTAAAAACTTCTTGCGTCCACAAAATAGACTGTCTAATAAAATTTGGTGACGAAATATTCTTATCTAGAATTTTTTTGTTATAATGCCAGTCATTAAAATTTTGATTGAACACAAGTCCTTCGTTAAGTAATCCTAATTCATTCAGACCCTCATTATATGTTGTGCGAAGAAAATAATTGCTGTTAGTTAATGGACTAAAGAGTTTTTCGGCTAAGTCAGCGCGACCTATCCAAACTTGTCTCTCAGTGCATATGTAAACTTCCCACATATCGCCATATTTAGCGTGAAGTTCGTTTGCCCAGTCAGAGGGGTCACCTGAAAACTGATGCAAATTACCTATTAATGGTAAGGGGAACGGACCAGGAAGTGGACTTGGACGAGTAAAATACTTATAATAGAAATATGTTATTTGTGCGAATAGACCTAATAATAAAAGTGGCAGAACGCCAGAGATTACGATTTCAAAGAACGACAGCATATTTGAAATTTATAAAAAAATTCTTAGATCTATTCTTCAGTTAAAAGTTTGCTTATATGTAACGAGTGCCGTCAAACAAAAGGTATAAAAATACTTAAGAGCCCTTTTGTTTGAACAGCACTTATATATATGATAGTGATTCGAGGCTAAATCGATTTTTGGAATTTGGGCATTTTAGGCCAAATGAGCGAAATTCAGTGGCGAAATTCAATGGCGAAATTCAGAAAGACTTTGAAATGGATGAAATTTGCAATTAATTAAACTACTTATAGGTATACTTTTTATGTGTGATAACGTGAAATAAGTTGCCTAAAATAATTAGTAAATATTACCCAAAAGAATTGGATGTATTTAGTAATCAAGTTTTAATAAAATGAACTTGAATAGCGCGAATTAAAGTATAATTCCATTTTCTCTACTATAAAAAAAATGGATTGCAAATTCGAATTCCGTACACACTCGATAAAATATCATCACGCGTGAAAAACTGACAGCTATCTTTAATTTTGGATTCACGTGCGGAAAGTTCGTTGGCAAGCTTTTGCTCAGCATAGTACAAAAAGAAGCACATGACGATAAAAGGCATGTTATCCAAAACAGTAATCTATAACCGGAAAAAATGTTCGTTAGCATATATACACGAGTGTGGGAGATATCATAGCATATAAACAATATTAATAATTAATGATAAAAAAAGGAAAACTTACGGTACAATTAAGAGCTAATGAATATCCAGGTCTTTTTCGAGTTGATAATGATTGTACAGTACAAAACATAATATCATTATCAACTCGAAAAAGACCTGGATATTCATTAGCTCTCAATTGTACCGTAAGTTTTCCTTTTTTTATCATTAATTATTAATATTCGTAAAACCACTTATTTGTTTCAATTTATGTATTACCAACATTCTGTGAAGGTTTGTTTTTTATTTGTTTATATGCTATGATATCTCCCACTACTGTATTCTCCTATTCGTCTATTTTTTGTAGTACATTTTATTCTAATTTTGGTTATTTCATGTGCGATGATTGATGACAATCATTTTCCAAATAATAATTTTGAATCACACTGTATGATTATGCACCGCCTCGTAATGAGGATCGATTTGCCACAACCGAGGAAAGAAATGGCTTACGCGTAGAGTTTCACAAAGAAACATTTCATCAGATGGTATTATTATCCAACATATTCTTCTCTTTTGCGCTATTCAAAACTTAATCAACCATCATAAATATTAAACAAAGAATGACACTTATTCTTTTTTATAAATATTAAGCCAAAGATTTTATTATCCATCTATTAAATTGCGATCCGAAAAAAAGGCCGACCGCAGAGCAAGTGCTAAGCATAAATGGCTTACGGGTAAAACGGCAATGGACATTGACTTACTGAATGGCTTTGTCGAGAACTTTAAATGCTCGTATAACATTTGGAAGAGCGATGAAAGTTGTACAAGCGGCAAACAGACTCGAGAAAAATACTACAAAAAAACCTGATAGTGAGGATGATAAGGAAGAACTACAAAATGTGCAAGAAAATCAAAATCATAATCAAAAGCAGGCCCAGGATATCGAAACGGATCCAGATGTAAGGATAATTAAAGTATAAGTTGATAGAT